GGAAGGGAAATCAAATCCGGGGTCTGGTCCCCGAAAGCCCTGTACGTGCCCAACAGCAGCCGGAAGGCCTGCCTCTCCCCCAGAGTTGGAGACTGAACCCACAGACACCCCCGAAAGGCCTCCTCCAGCCCCGAGTGACCAGCCCGTGGCAGGCAAGATGCTGCCCACCACAGAGGAATGAAGCCGGGCTGCGGTGGGCGCACCGGGCGGCAGCCGTGGTCACCGGGACTCACAGCGAGACAGAAACGGCAGAGCCTGACCCGGTTCCTGACAAAGGCGTCGGAGGAAACATGTGGTAAAACTCAAGGCAAGTCGCATGGCCAGCAGCTCTGAGAGGCAACGTGGGGTCACAAAGTGACCATCGGCTCATCCCACTGAGAGGTGATGGTGGGAGGGACCGGGGGGTGAAGGACGGAGGGAGAGAAGGGCCCCGGGAACGTGGCTCAGGAAGGTGTGGGTCCAGGACACTGGCTGTGCGAGGGGCAGAGCGTGGTCAAGGGCACGCAGGTGGCAGTGGGCGAAGCCAGGACCAGGCCCACTGTCGCAATCCACGCTCCTTCCCGTCGAGTATGAAGTGAGGGGTGCTGGGAGGGGCCATTCTCTTTAACATGCAATGATGCCGTTTGAAGGAGGCGACCTCAAAGTCTTGGTCAGAAGGATGAGAACGTAGCGTCCTGCCCGGCCGGCTGGGCTCAGTGGCTGGCGTCGACCTATGAACCAGAAGGTCACAGGTTGGCTTCCTGGTCAGGGCACATGGCTGGGTTGCAGGCTCGATTCCCAGTAGCAGGAGGCAGCCAATCAATGATTCTCTCCCATCACTGATGTTTCTATCTCTCCCTCCATCTCCCTTCCTCTCTGAAATAATAAAATTATAATTTTTAAAAAGTAGCCTCCTGCACCGGAGCAAACGCAGGAAGAGGCCCTGGGAGACAAACGCCGGGAGCGTCCCGAGGGAGCCTGCCCCGCAGCCCCCGTGGCGGACACTTCCAGGGAGGGACCCCTCTGGTGTCCAGCGCGGCCAGTGGCTCACAGCGAAGACAGGATTCGGCGCCCGGGCACACACCACATACATGATACCTTTCCAAAGACATACCTTTACTGCTGCACTTGAGGCCAGCCCTCGAGTCCAGAGCCCTGCCAGTGGACAGCTGGGGCAGAGCGCAAGGCCCCACGCTCACCTCCAGCTCTGTCTGCCACCCCAGCGTGGCCTGCAGCTCACACAGCAGGCTCCTCTGGGTGACGCTGAACTCGCATGAAGTTCAGGCCTGGAGATGCCCACTACAGTGCACCCAGTGCGGTGCGGAGAACGCCACAGAGGGAGCAGGAGAGCCCTCCGGTGTTCGCGACGGGTCTGTTATTCACACAGAAGTGCTGGTCACTTGACGATCGAGGCAAAACTGTTACTGCCTCTCTGCATGCGCTGCGAAGTCATGGCGTAAAACCACCGGAGCATCAGATGGAGTCTCACACATCAGATCTCGTTAAAGACGGGTCCCGGCTCCACCAGAATCCAACTCAGCCCCAACCCAGCCTCAGGGCAGCCGCACCTGGCAACGCGGCTGGGCCACAACTCAGCTCTCACCAACTCCCCACGCCGCCTTCTCTTTTAAAGAGGAAACATGAGCTGTTTTCAAGTAGCGGGGTCCTGTGGAAACCGGTTGCCTTTTAATCCCTTCGTCCACCAATGACAGGAGTTACACAGAATCTCGACTTCTGATGAACAACCAACCCATGTACTTCTAGGAATCCTCGGTAACATCTTTAAACACTGTGCATGTTTCTAGATGGTGGGGGGGGGGGGGGGGGGGGCGGCACACACATTGCCAAGGTTATGAATGGGAGACTGAGAGCTTCCCACCAAGAGATGTTGCTCCGTTGCTACTGAATTCCTAACACGTGGGTAACGGGCCCCGTTCATTTACTATCTGGTCCATCACCCACGTGTGCGCTTTTAATGGGGACTTAACCTTTATGTCCCACATTCTCGGTGGGAGTAGCACAAACACACGTCTGTGAGTTCCTCCTCAAGCCAACCCACACATGAACATGACCTTTAAATTGATGTTGAGTGAAGCTCTGAAATACCGGCTTTCTCACCCCTGCTCCCACAGCTCCGCTCCTCCTGGGCAGGTCCGGGGTGACCAAGCAGAGCCGGGGTGCGGCCCAGAATCACCCCCAAGAGCTAGTTCATCGACCTTTACCCCAGCCAAGCTGCCAATCACCACTAAACTCTCCCAAGCAGAGAGAGAGACACGGGTAAATGTTAAGTCTACCCAACTCATTTCATAGGTGACCTCTGCAGGATGTCAGCTGGGAGCCTGGGAGAGAGAGGCAGCTTTATTAGCATGCGGCACCAGGCCCCAGCCCCCTCCCCCGCTTTTATGAGCCCTTGTTATACAAAATGCCACAAAGGCGAAAGGAAAAACAACGCCAGTACAGTTACAAACACAAGTCCGGTTGGCCAGGCCAAACCCTGGCGGCTCACAGAGGTTATTTGTAGTCATTTAAAAGAAAAACACTTGCCGAAACCGGTTTGGCTCAGTGGATGGAGGTCGGCCTGCGGACTGAAGGGTCCCAGGTTTGATTCCCGTCAGGGGCATGTGCCTGGGTTGCGGGCACATCCCCAGTGGGGAGTGTGCAGGAGGCAGCTGATCGATGTTTCTCTCTCATCGATGTTTCTGACTCTCTATCTCTCTCCCTTCCTCTCTGTAAAAAATCAATAAAATATATTTAAAGAAAAAGAAAAACACTTTTAAAAAGCCCGAGAACAAAAGTTTTCATCGTCTTTCTTGAACCCGTATACACACAAAAAGATGGAGGTGCGTTCCCTTCGCAGGCATCCTTCCCCATTCAGATTCCTTCCCCATTCAGATTAATTTAAAGGGAAAGGCAGCCTGGAGTCGGACAGCTGCCTCCTTCGAGGCTGCACATCTTCCCGGGTTTCCCTCACCCTCTAAATCCCGGCGTGACAGATAATAAACAGCTACTCATTTACGAGCATCATAAAAATTTAAACAGCCTGGAAAGAGTTGCTACAATATTAAGAAACCAGCAAACCTAAGCTCCGGAAAGCCACTCGGAACAGCGAAACTATTGCGCCGCCGAAGCGCACATAAAGATACATTGTTGCCATAAAAGCTGCGGGATTAGCGGATTTTCTCTTTTAAATCTTCTTCTAAAAGTCAACAACTTGCCGTATTTTTACCCAAGTGGGAAAAAAAAAAAGAGGCTTAGGAACCCTCAGCTATCACACGGTGCCAGAGTCGGTGGCGGCTTCTTTTTTTAAAGAAAGTATCTGATGCGATTCCACGCAGTGATTAACCATCTTTGTGCTCCGCCGAGAAGGGGCCTCCAACCCCTCCCCCTCCAAAAATGGCAAAGAAGCAATCAAAATGGTAATGCCGGGCCGGGTCCCCTCCCCCCGCGAACTCCCCGACTTCGCCGGGGCCGCGCGCCGGGCCCCCCTCCGGGGGGAAGGGA